CCCCTCTGCAGAGGATCAAAATTGTGATGGCATGTCTTCGGATCATCCTCAGGGATGTTTCCAAGACCGTCGCCAATAGCCCATTGTGAAGCTCTAGTGCGACGTAAATTAACAGCAACAAGTCACGAGTCATTTAAATGGTTCACATTCACTATACCGGAAGTCTTGATAGCCATCTGACATTTTAGCATGGAGCTCGGTGACTTCTCTTTTTTCCTTTTTTTTTTTATTTTGGATAACCGTCTATGAAGTAATTAATATTTCGTAATTATATAATATATTTATGCTTATTCAGACAGAGTTTTGTTCAAACGTGCAATTAAAATGAAGATTTTTCAATTAATATTATACTATTTTGTTTTTCAACATTAAAATTGTGAATTAATTTTTTATATGAGACGAGAGTAGTTGTCTTCAGGACTAGAACAAGAGAGAGAAACAGAGAAATAATAGATGGGGCTACTAGTAATTCATGTCGGCCAAGACTCTTTTCCGATCATTCATGTTACCGAAATGGCGACCCGATATTCTTTTAGTCGCATAAACTACTATATACATTTCACCTTTTGTTTTAAATGAAGTCAGTTATCGTACAATTATTAAACGTATCGAGCGAATAAATGGTATGGGAAGGAATTAAATCAACATTTTAAAGATGAAGTGAGTAAATAATAAAGAATGTCATGTTTTTGAATAGAGAAACTGATTTTTTTTAAAGTGATCATTGTTTTTATAAAAAAAACAAAGGCTACAGAAAGCTCACAAGTGAAAGATGTGTGATTCCATAACGACACTTATATAATGTAATGATCTCATTATTTTTAAACTTAAAAAGTGTTAACTTTTACTCATTATTGATCGGTAATTACGATAATTTTTCAGTGTTTAGAACTTAAGCAAAGGAAAACACACTATACATATTGTATTCCACATTATTAATTTCTGGCCTATTTCATTTGTGTTTGTTGTTTTATTGTCAAAGTAAGTGAATAATAAATGCGTCAGTAACAATATTGCTTTTAGTGGGAGGAAATCAATGTTAACAGATTGTATACCAAAAATAATTACGATTATAGGAACGACTTTCTTCTCATAAAACTTATTATTAATCTTACCTAGTATTATTATTTAGAATTTTGTTTCACTATTTATGCTTTCTTCTTATGAAACCTTATTTTTATCGTACCTTTATATTAATATTTAGAATTTGTTTACACCTTCATTTTATGAAATATTATATTTTAATCTTACCTCTGTATCATTGTGTGGAATTTTGTTATTTAACACTTTTTTCGAATGAAGCTTCATTTTACTTTTTTATTATTTGGAATTATGTTTCACTATTTACTCTTTCTCCTTATGACACTTTATTTTTATCTTGACCTTATTATTATTTGGAATTTTCTTTCTCTATTTACACTTATATATTATGAAACTTTATTTTAATCTTTGTATTATTATTTGGAATTTTGTTTTATTTTTTACACATTTTCCTCATTGAACTTCATTGTAAACTATTTCTTTTTATTATTTGGAATTTTGCTTCACTATTTACACTTTTGTTTTCTTATTAAACTCTAATCGTACCTTTGTTATGATTATTTAAAATGATGTTTCACTGTTTAAACTTTCTTTTATTGGGAAACTGCTTTAATTTTACATTTGTATTGTTTGGAAATTTTGTTTCATTGTTGACAATTTTTTTTCTTCTTCTAAGAAACTTGATTTTAATCTTACCTTTGTATTATAATTTACAATTTTGATTAAATATTCATACTTACTCCTTATGAAGTTTATTTTAATCATAGGCCAGTGGGACAAGGATTTAATGGGGAATAATGGCCATATTTTCATAAAAATATTTTTAAGAAAATATTAATTCACATGCAAATAGCAATACCAAAGCTCTTTTCAGCAGACTTCTTGTTATAACAAGAAGTCTGCTGAAACAGTGCATGAAGAAAGTTTGTTTTAAAGTATATAAAAGTAAATTGGATTTTTTTTTTTTACTTCAAAAACATTTCCAATTTTATATGGCCTGATATTTTTTTTTGAGGCTACTAATTAATATAGCACAAATATTCTGTTTTATATAATATGTAATTAAATTGACTTTGAATAAATATGTATTTACATTGTTTAGAATAATATAAAAGCAGAGCATATGGGGCCAAATGGTATAATAAGAAAGTGGTTTAATGGGTTATCAGAATTTATAATGTATGTGAATAAATTAGTGATATGTATGACTTATTGAAGAGATTTACAATTGAAGGTTTTAAAAAACTGGCACTGTCTAAAGAAATGAATTAAAAATGATAGTTTTTAACAAAGCATTATATTAAGTGATTAATTAACTAAATGAATTAAACTTATGTTTTATTAGAACATTTAGAGGTAACTGCTAAAAAAATATAGCTACTTTAATCTACTGTATACATAATATGTAAATGAAATAATTTAATTTTTCCAGTGTAGATTATTTTAATAATTTCAAACATGTAATAAAATTTAAAATGATTCAAAATTAAAAAAAAAAAAAAATATAGCTATTTTAAATCAGTTCATTTTTGTGTTTCAAGCAAAACATTTTATTTTGAACTATTCTGCATGTTAGAATAAATATTTCTTTTGATTTTGTTTTACAGACAAGCTTAGAAAGTTTTGATTTAAAAAATATTGAACTTTTCAACTGCTACTTAAATTGAAAAAATTTCATTCAAAACTGCTTTCGACATTTATAGCTTCTTCTGATGCTGCTTGTTAGTTTTTTTTTACTTTCAAATTTATTGTGTGGCATCTGAAATGGAGTATTTAGGATTTGTATCAAAAATCCATTATGGAATGACAATAGTTAAAACTAGAAACTTGACGATTCAGTTTGTTTTCAGTGGGAATCAAAGTTCCGGAGAATTGGCGTGTTGATGGTAAATCAGGTCGCAATTGAATATATCATTTAATGCCATGCATTAAGTTTATCTGGCTAGAAGCTGCAGGCCTTGCCTTATCAACCAGCTTTAACAAATTCAATGTTGATAATTTTTATTCAAATATAGCAGAATGCTTACAAAACTACATCCTTAAACTGTAAAGAATATTTAATTCAGATAAGAGTTGCTTTACAACTAAACATAAAGCATGAAATATTTGCAAAAAAAAGAAAAAAGAATGAAACTAATTGGCAAAGTCGCAATTACCAAGAAAGGCAAAACAATAATGTTTGTTGTTTTATTAATGCAGGTAATACCATACAACTTGCATTTGTTTGCCTAAGCTTTAAGAAATGATTTTGTGATTGATGTAACTCTATTTGGACATTTTTCATTTGTACATAAATTTGGGTGAATGACTACAAAATTTTTAAGGTATTGGAAAATAAAATTTAAAGTTTAAAATTTTCTTAGCTTGGAAACGCTCAGAAAACTATTTGATCATCAATTTTAATATCTTTGTTTTAATTTTTGAAATAAAAAAAATCTATACTTATTATGCTTATGTACATTGTATTTTTAAATAAAATGTCTAAAAAAATTGCATCTGATATAATAAAATTTTAAAATAACTGATATTCTTTATATACGTGTTGTAACTCTATTTTTAGTGATGAAATTTGTAAAAACACTTTAAATTACCACCATAGATATTAATTTTTACACTCTCATCAATTAAACCAAAAGCTATTAGGAGAGTTTTCTTGCTTTTTGATGAAATTGTTCAGCAAAATATACTGCAACCAAAGTGAAACCTAATTTTGATAGCTTTGGAACATCATCTCTTTAATAATATGAAACAAATTATTTTTTAACATTTATTTTTTAAAAAATATAATCATGATACATTTATTTAAGAGCAGTTTCATTTCGAAAACAATGTTTGCATATGTTTTTTGTGAAATCTATACAATTTTAAAACTATACCCCCTTTACCCCACTCTGTATAGTAGGTATATCAAGACATGTTCTTTTGAATGCATTACTGAAAGAAAACAATTAAACAAAATAGATAAGTTATGCTTGATATTTAATTTATATGAATCCAATGTATATAAAATGCATCAAAATTTTCAGTAAAATAAATTTAATGGTTTGGTTTTAGAGTCTTTAAAAAAAGCTTGATTTTTTTTAAGATCCTATAAGATCCCCACTTTATCCTATAAAAATGTTAAGAGGCATATTCAATGTATTTTCCTTTCAAGATCATTGAAATCCCACTTAAAAATAATAATAAATTTAGGCAAGAAACTATCTGTGTTGCAGTTGTTAACCACTATTTCATGTGTTAAAAAAATGGTATTTTGTTCTAAAAAAAATTTTTTTTTTATTCAGGAATATATTTTAAAATATTTGAAAATGTATTTTAAATGTAGATAAATAAGTTTAAAAACAGTTAATCTGTTTTTCCGTTAAAATAATAGCACAGTTTCGATCATTGCCTTTGAGCACGCATCAAAATACTAGAATACTTTTTCTAAAAATCTTTTACACAGTAAAATACAATTAACCGTACAACTTAAGGATATTAGCTAGTAATTGTACAAGTATAACTTAATTAATTTTTTATTTATTTATTTTTACACATCTGGAAACATCTTAATTATTATTATTTTATTTTTACAACTTACATGCAGGATTTTTCAGAAAATGTGATATTTAGGTGGGGTGAAACATGATTTATGAAATATTTCTTTTAATACCAGTTATTAATACAATTAATCTACACACTGTTGATTGTCATAAAGAATAATTCAGTGTACCCTTAAAATATATTTGATGGAGTAATTAATTTCTATGTCAAATGGGACAAGGTAAAATGTCACTACTGTCTCTCTAGTCTCCAAATGTCACTACTGTCTCTCTAGTCTCCAAATGTCATTCAAGTATCTTTTACTTATCTGTTGATAAATTCTTTCAAAATAATATTGAGTTATTTAAAAACAACTAGTGGTTGACCCTTAAAATTGTCTGCTCAAATATGTATATTTTTTTAATTTAAATAAAATAAAACGAAATTTTGCTACTAAATGCTGAAAAATTGGGTATTTATTTAAAGTTTATAATTTTTTTTTTTTAAATTCATTTTGTTAGCATAATTTATTACCTTATTTAACACATTACGTGCAGGAATTTTTAATACATTTTAAAATTGTGTTTTATAAATAATATATTAAAATTTTTTATTCTTCTATATCAGGGGTTTCCAACTGGTGGCCCGCGAACTAAAATATATCAGTTGTCATTTTTTTTGTGGACAATTTTCGTAAAAAATCTATATGGGTTTAAAACACTTTTTTCGTTTATAAAAACCTAATTTCTTCGTTTCTGTGAAATTTGACATACCAACGGTGCAAAAACATTTATTTCTCAGGTTTTGCATCCAAGAAAACATTTATTCAAATGCAAAAACAATCGTGTATGTTGCTCTTTTTTATTTCATTTTTTTTTGTATTTTGTGAATATAATTTAGCATGTGCGTATCAGAAATTTTCTCTAAGAAATTCTCCGATTTAACTTTTTAAAACCACTCATTTTGGACGAAAATATTAACACACACATTTGTAAATTTTAAATTTAATATGTAAATATCTATTCTTTGGTAGTTACAGCACACAAACCTCAATTTTCTCATTAAACATTTTGTGTGCTACTATTTAAGTTTTAATACCAACCTTTTTAAAGTTTTATATCTTAACAATTAGATATCTGTTGCACATTAATTGTTTAATACATGGGTACATTAAAGTTATTGTAGCCTGAATTTTTATTATTTATTTAATATTTTTAAAAATATTAATAACAATGAAATATTTTTAAAAATCTACTTCTTATTTTAATTTGTAATTCAATACTTTATTTTTGTATAACTTGGTAAAAATCTGACAGTAATATTTAATGTTCCTTCAAACATAAAAGAGTCCTACATAAAAGTTTGATAAAGTTGCGGCCCGCCATTTGATTTGTGTTTTTAATTGTGGCCCCCGGCCTCATGTAAGTTGGAAACCCCTGTTCTATATAGTAATTTAATGACCAGTGTGACTTAGAAATAAAAATTAACCCTTAATAGTCCATAAGTGTTTCATGTTTACTTTCAACCAGGTATGATTTTAATGATTAATTATAATATTAATTATAGTTTTATTATTATTTACAATGATTGCTAATATGATAACAGTAAGTGTGATAAAAATAATATAATGATTTTAGCCAATCTTTAAAGAAATTTGACAATTGCAGAGCAGGTGTTTTTATCTCTTAATCTTAAGTTTGTTTAGAAATAGTTATCATATTTATATTTCTTTTCACCGTTTTGTCTTTCTGCTTAGTGCAGTTGAAAAAATTTGTTTAAATAAATTCATATGTTTTTATTAATATACATTAAAAAAATATGTTTAGGCATGTGAAAGTTTCGGTTGAAAGCTCTTTTTGTAGACTAAGAAAAAATTGAGATTTTATGAACTCTGGTATCAATATATTTGATACTGATATGAGTTAGGTGTTTTGGTTAAATAAATTAATTACTCAATAGTTTCTGTTATCCCAGAACTTTTGAATAGCACTTCAATTCATGAACAATTTTAGTAATCAATATTTACTGTTTTCTTTAGACAAAACAACATGCAATATGCTTAACCAGAAAACAAGAAATATGATGTGGGATGAACACAGGTGATAAAATTCTTCTCTGTGCCATGTGAGTTATATTTACTTTGTTTGTTTGACGCCATTCATATTCTGCATTGTGAAATCAAATAATTTTAACGTTATTTTTATATGTACTGCTAATTCTTCACATCATTAAAAAAAATTAAAAAGAAAAGACAAACATATCTTTATTTATAACAGAAAAAGCTCAAATTATCCTCTGCCCACTTTTTTTTTAAACATATATATTTGATCATGTAAATATTCTTTATTTTTTTAAATATCATTCAACCTATAAGTAAACATTGTTGAATAAAATTCAAGGTTACTAATCAGTGAGATTTGCTCTTCTCGAGGTCTTTTTCTCTCCTTCAGATAGGCGAAATCACGACGTCACATACTCATAGACGCTTCAGCTATCCCATCTTTCATTGCTATTTGTAATACTAGCTACTATTCCAAGTATCAGATTTGATTTTATCTTGTACTTGATTCTAAATATAAAAATGAATTCGAATGCAATTTAAATGCCGTTTTTTATAAAGTTTATTATAGAAATGTTGGATTTAAGTAATAGAATTGAAGCTCTAATGTTAAAGATAAGGTAAAGTTTACCTTCATGGTTTTAATGTAAAAAAAGGATCTATACTTTTATACAACTTGATCCAAAACATTGCTTTTGACGTTGGGTTCTATCTGGAGTAAAATTTATAATTCTCAAGATAGTGGAAGTAAGTGAAAACCCAGAAGAAAAAGCAAAAAGTAGACCAATCGTAAAATAGACAGAGCAAAGAAAACTAGAGAATATGAAATAAAATTACCATGTATATTCAGAAAACTTTTTATTAAATTTTATAGAATGTTGTTCTTTTATATAACATAATCTAATTCATTACTTTTTTTGTGTTTAATTCATTTTACAATAGTTTTGTGATTAATTCATTTTACACAAAGATTTAGTGTTTACTTTATATGTAAATTTTTATGCTAATGGAAGATTTTAAATATGTAGAAAAGTAAACATTTTTAATTATATTATCTACTTCTTAGAAATTATTTTTAAGAGTATTTCACATGTTGTGAATAATCTTACACGCAATAGTTGTGAAAATACTTTATTTATAAAATAATAAGTTATATATTTGAGTAAATAATTTTAAATAAGTTCATGGATAATAAGTATTACAACAGTGAAACAATGATAACAAAGAATGTAGACATTTTATTCCTACTTTTATGGATAAATAATTAAATATGTTTAGAAAACTTAGCAGGCTTGAACAATTCCAATTTATTTCAAGAAAAGAACTTTAAACAAATTGTAAATTATGATTTTATTATTTTTATCTTTTCAATAGAAAAAGAAAATTTTTATACTATTTTTATTAATTATTTATACAGTCATCTACACTGTTTTATTCAATTATATTTAGCTACCTTTATATGAATGTTATTCTTGTAATACTTGGTTTATAATTGTGTAATATAGATATGTTGTGGACAATATATTAAATTTAATTAATTTTGATTCAATAGCGTGACTGAGGATGTTCTGACCAATAGGCTAACATAAAGACCTTTCTTCATGAGGAGAGGGAATATTATGTAATGTCAAATAATTATGTATTAAATTTAATCCTTAAATTAGATTTATAATTAGAACAAATTAGATTTATATCCAGAACTTACATCTAATGTTATATTAGTAAAAACTTTTCCCACAAAAGAGCAATAATACTGATCTACTTATCTCAAAAAATGTGATGTATCTTTAGTAGCTTAAGAAATAGATCAGAGATTACTGAGACCTAATAATATTTAAATATATTGTCTAGAAAGATATAAAAGCCCTTTTTCCAAGGTCACATCGCTTCTTTTCTATCTAACTGTCAGAATGTGTTGTTCTCATTTTAGGCCTCGGGCCTTTCTTAAATTAAATTCTATTTTTCTCCATGTTCCTGTATATATTTTCAGTAACCTCGTGTGACATTAAAAACAACAATTAATGCTTTCAAAGCTTAACAAATATATATATATGACATAGCTATCATGGTCGAATGTTCGCACTGAGGAAATCAGGCTGGGTGTGATGCGGTTTATTTTATATTAGAAAAAGAGAGAAAGTGAAAATTTTCAGTGAAAACAATGTGCTTCGCCTCTTGGGTTAGGGATTTTAAACGAAAAATCTAACAAGTGTTCCTGTCACATGCGTTACAAGAGATAATATAACATTATAATAGACCAGAACAATCTAATCTGTTAAAAGGCGACTGCCTACCTTGAAATGAGTGATTTCGTCCAAAAAATCGATTTTCTGTTTAATACATTTTTAAAAAGTATGAACTTTCAAGATTCCAAAAATGCTTTACTTTTAATTTTCTGAAAATTATTTGTAAAGTTATAGCCGATTTAAAAACCGGAAGTCACATTCTGAAAAACCGGAAGTGAATAAAAAATGACAGAATTTAATGTAAACAAAGCTGTTATGCGTTGGTTTTTTGTTTTCCTTTCAGTAAAAAGCCATAAAATAATATTAATAATAATTATAAATGTATTGAAATGCATCTGGCAATTATTTATTAATGATTTTTCTTAAAGAAATATGATTTGAATGGCAACTGCTATGATGTTTACATATTTCGCTTTCTGATTGATTCACACGCTTTACATTCCGTTCTTGAACAAAATTCTAGTTATATTTTGAAATTGTTTCGATAGAATTTGATATTTTTTTAGTTATTTTTAATTTTTTTCAAAAATCTTTTCTTTCTTTTTTCAAAAATCTCCGTAAAATGTTATTTTAAATATTGTGTTTTTAAGCATAATATTGCATATATTTTGAATTTTTTTATATAAATTTTATACTTTTAGTTCAAAGCACGAAATAGAGTAAAATTAGTATGTAGTATAAAAGAAATATGTTTTATTGGTTATAATTTTGTGTAATGGTGTATTACACAAACATATAATGTACTAATTTCATACTCAAATTTTTAAAATATTTAATTATGTATTGATATGAAATTGCACTTTTATTGTTTTTTATATCTAACTCAAGCTATACATTGTTATTATCACCTGTATTTCTAAAGTAATTAAATCTAAAATGACAAAAAATCAACAGATGTTTACTAACAGTAAATTGAGCATTTGTACGGAGATTTTCAACTTATTGAAAAAAGGATCAGGAAAAAAAGAATATTCAATGAAAAGTCCAATTTAAACAAGTATAGAGTATATGAAGGTTTGGTATATCTTTTTAGATAGTTTAATGTTTGTATGATAAATGTAATTTACTTTTACTGCACAAATAAATCTTAAAATGCGTTTTCTGGCAAACTGAATTTTTCCGTTTTTCGATTCCCGCTGGACCTTATTTCTCAAAAACTATTAGGAATTTTATGATTCAATTGTGTAACAATGTTATAAATAATATTATCTGTGTTCTGAACTAGAACTAAAATTCTATTTCAATCTTTGATTATTTTATAGCTATGTAAATCAAAAAAACTTAAAAAATATATCGTTATTTTGCTGTTTTTCTACGTAATTGGGCATATTTCACAAAATTTTTAAAATTTTGATTAACTTTTAGTTCAGAACACAGAAAAGGGTTAGACTAATATATATTCCAAAGGAAATTGTATTTTATTACGCACAACTAAGTTGAGGGTGTCCAGCGTAACTCTTAAAAATCACTAATTTTTGACCTAATTTCAACAAAATTTTACAAACTATAAAATATATTGTTTTAATTTTTCTTATTTGTGTCATTTTTTATCCCATTTTATATAACTAAGCATAAAAAGTTTTAAAAATTTATTATTTTTAAAAAAAGTTCACCGCTCGCGGCAGGGTTGGAGTTTTTGCCTGGACAGTGGCAAAAACCTGGTAAAAGCCGGCAAAAACCAAATTATCTAAATTGCGGATTAAATATTATTACAAAATACTTGAAACAAACTTAAATCAATCATAAGGAATAATAATTTTGATACATTACATGAGAAAATTATTTTTAAAATATTAATAATTAATATAAGGGTAATAATTTTTAAAATATTGAAAGTTTTTGACCTCATTTCATTTTGGAATCCTTAAATAAATGTTTTTTTACAAATTGCATTTTTTTTTACTTCTTCATAATAACTTTTGATATGTATTATTTTACATTACATCACTCTTACTCTATATTTAAAGAGAAACATAAGAAAGCTAAGATGGATGTTTCATTAGATAGATTTTGATAATCACCTCATTTCTCAGTATTATTTACAAATGCAAACAAAACAACACAATTTAAATTCCCTTGATCCTTTTCACTCACAAACCCCCGACTTCACACAAAAAAAGGTGGGTGGTATTAGTGTCATCTTACCCTATCCACACAAGTGTCTGGCACCAATCACAGGTAACCAATCAGGGCAGCAAGTTTTTCCTTCAATCACTGAAGAGCACAAGTGAGTTCTAGGAAATCTGTTAAATAAATTTCTAGAGAATTTTGTGAATTAATGCCTCATTTACACTCATGTCCTTCTAGTAGTGCTGCCATTGAAAGAGAGTGTTTTCGAATTTTTTATTTGTACATTCTGAAATTCAGAATAGGTTGACTGTAAATAATGTTTCAAAACTAGTGCTCTGTTATGCTATGTTGAGACTGCACAAATTGTATTGTAATGATGAATAAAGTATTGAATTTGCGCAAATTTAAAAAATTTCATCGATACTTGTATATTTTAATTAACTACACATGTTGATAGATATTTTATACTTTAAATTATAGTTATATTAATTTAAAGTAAGTTCATTTCACTGGAGAAAAGAGAATAATCACTAATTTTCCGATCAATAATGTTTTAAACTACTAAAATGATATATTAATACATTATGATTTAATTATGGAAATTTAAAATTTTGATAATTTTTTTTAACTATATATATTTATAGTATATATTTCAATTTTAGGAATAATTTTATATCAAAAATGTGTTTTTGTCCTCTCAGTTTGGAAAATATAGGTTTTTACCACTTTGCTTGGCAAAAACCTGTTTTTGCCAGGACGGTTTTTACCATGATTTTTTTCCGCCTGCGGCAAAATCTTGCCAACCCTGGCTCATATGGTAGAAAAATCTTTAATAATATTACTTATTAATTTATGTTAAAGCATTACACATAAAATAGTTTTCTCCGAAAAATAAAACATTAAAAAAATACAAATGTCACTTACAATTGCTAAAAATAGAAGGCGGTATTAGAAAAAAGTAAATAACACGAAGAGAATATTTCAATTTTTAAGATATATAAAATGGCACTTGATAAATACAAAACTTACGTAAAGCGCATGAATTCATTGAAAACTTTATGAAAAATAAAAACATAAAAGTCAAATTTCGAATGCCGGATGTGAAAATATAAAGATCAACAAAATGAATATCATTTCGAAAAAGGGGGGACTATATCGTCGCTTTATAGAAAACTTCGCTCAACGAAAACGCTTCTCAATTTGTTGTGACATTTTCTTCTGCTGGGGCGTCACAGCTCTAAAAGCCCCTGTTGACGCCTCATTTCAAATTTGAGTCCCCAGACGGAACAATAAGAGACGTTAAAATTTCAAAAGGAATATATTCCTATCTTTAACAAAATAACATCCAACTTCCTGAAGACGCATTTCACGGAAATGGTTTCGAAAGCAGGAAGATATACGGAACAATGAACCAAGTCCTATTAAAAAATAAAAAATACGACGGAGATCATTTAAAGCATATTCTAATCAAAGGGCATATTTTGGACGACACAATGAGAGATATTTTCACAAGTGTTGAATATGTAAGGGAGAAGAATATGTATGATGTTGACGGGAGCACCATTTACTATAGGTGATTATTCAGTGGTGAATAATACATGTTACAAATGCGGTCCTTTACAATAACGACTTGTGTCAGCATTCGAATTATAATGTAGGTGAGGTTTCGGTACTGTAGCAATCTCATGTATGTTTGATACATAGCTGGAAGAGCTTTCACACAATGAAAACTATTGTTAATGTACCGCCGATCCCAAGAGAATTTATTGGTTTATAATAGTGTCTGAAGAAAATTTAAACATTAGATTTTAAAATTTCGATTTGGAATTTTGTTAAAAGTATCATAACATAACACTAATAAAAAAAAATATCTGGTCAAAACTACCCGAATAAGGTAAAATTTACCGTGTTTCTGGCTCAATAGGAAAAGCTCGGTAATTTTTACCGAATCGCTTTTGATTTTAGTAANTTTTTTTTTTAAAGTCCGTTGATCTTGCCTTGTTCTAGGTTTTAATATTTATGCTAGTGCCGTTTTTTAACTATCGTTTCGGTTCGATAATTTTCAAGTGTTGTTTTTATTTAGATTAATAGGTTTTCCTTTTATTTTCGCCCCCCCCCCATGAAATATATTGCGTTATTTAATCATTGGTTTTGTTTATTAGTTGATTTAGGAATCGTAATTATTTTTTAAACTTGTTTTTCTTGTCTAAACTTGCAAATTTTTTTATTCTTTTAAATTTTATTTTTCTACAATTTTTTTCCTTTTTAGATTTAGGAGTGCTTTTCTTTTTTCTCTTACTTTAAAATGTGTTTACATTTTTTCCTTGTAATTTGGGTTTGATAAAACATCGATTAACGACACTTTTTTGTCGATCCAGGAAACCGGGAAATTAAGACATCCGGGATAGCGATGGTCCCGAGCATCCCGGATAATTGGTTCTTTATTGTACAGACATTAGTATTGAATTGGTTTTTTAAAATAAAATACTTATTCAATTTGTTTATTTTTTAAAAGTTTTTGTGTATTTTTATTACAGTGTCGGGTTTTTGAATAATGTTTTATTAAGGAAATGGTATTTATTTAAAGAGTATCTACCTAATATAGTTTTGTGTTGCTAAATCTGTGTTTAATTATTTTATTTCCATTTAATATTTTTAAACAATTATTGCTCTATTAGTGTGTAAAATTTCTTGCATTCTTATATTTAATAAATTTTTTACTTAAAATTCCTTAGAAGTGCCAAATGTTGCATACCATGCACCTTTTTTTACCCCTCCTGAAATCTCCTGAATTCTTGTTAGGGAAACTCCTGAATGTTAATTTTGCTAGGTTGGCACGTCTGATTACTGCATTCATTAATCTATTTTTAAAAGATTATGTGAAGGATGTGTTATTATTAATTATGTTAACTAGCTTAATACTGAATAATGAATTAAGAAGAATATAACAAAGAAATAATGTATTAAGAATTGTTAAAGTATTTTATGTTACATCCTCTCTCACTATAAAGTGTGTTACCATCTAAAAAATTGGTAATTTACTTGAAGCACTTTCTCTATGTGAGAAACACAACTAACATTGAAAAGACTAACGCTTCGTAGTATAAACATTCAAGCAATATCTAAGAGTAACATGGAATGTAAAAAACACATTTTTGGAACCATTTTATGCTTCTGGCAACTATTTTAGAGACTATTTTTCATGTCTGACAGAACTAAAGTCACTGTAAAGTTTCATTGCAGTCGTTGCCCTGAATGAAAAATTTCATTAATGTGACTCTTGGAGGCAAAATTTAAAGACCCCACGCATAATAATGACACTTTTTCTAAAAGTTTTATTTTTAATCTTTCAAAATGCTATTACAATTTTGTTTTGTAAACTTGACTAGTACTTACAGTGGGAGAGGAAATGTTGTTTGTATAGTTAATATGGGGAAATTATTTGGTGTTAAAATGAATTTTGCATCCAAAATATTTTAAACATTAGTTCTTAATTGTGCGTTAAAGATTAACAAATAACAATTATTTTTTTAATTTTTGTTGCAAATACAATTAAAAATAATTTCTCAAATTACATTGAATAATAATTGGGCATAAAATATGCTGCTTCGATGGTACATTGTGTTCCAAAATAGCAATTTCTGAAATAGCTCAAAAAATTCCTTCAAAATGCTGTATTGTAAAAATAAATAAAGAATAAAAAAAAAATCCTTTGTTAATTGTGATTAGAATGTGTTTAGTATTTTACGTAAAATAATAATTATATAGAATAAAACATTTGCACATGGCTTTGAATTGAAAACATTAATTACTATAAATAACCATTTATTTGTTAAAATTCTCTTGCATTTAGTTACTGGTATAAATCCTGTGATTCAAAAGTGGCTTTTCTATTGTATTAAAATGTAATGTTTAGAAAAATAAATATTCTCCTTTATGTTTAGATCATTGAATTTTCCAATGTGAATCTTCTGCACTTGTGTGCAATGGAAGTATTTCCACCTGATGAGTCACAACCTAATGAAGTGGGTAGTGGGCCCACTGCCTCTCAGTTGGATCACATGAAAGCCTGGGATGATAATTTGGCTTCCCTTGAAAGTAAGTTTATTTCTGTTGATGCTTATTCTATAGTACTTGGTATAATGAGGGAAACTCTTTTCTCTCAGGAGGCTTGCTTCCTTTAGTTAAATATGGGCTTCCTCAGTGGCTCCCATAATTTTGAGTCCCGCAGTGGACTGATCGTTAAGACACGGTTCCCAGCAGATCACCGAAGTCAAGCATTACTTGCTGCGGTCAGNCAATCGTGTGGGTGGGTGACCACTTGGATCAGCCTGCGTAGGGACAGAGGGTGTGTGGTATTGGTCCACGTTAAACTGTTCTACCGTAAAGTGCTCGACTTCGCGTGCAGGTCGTCGGGCTACCGACGCGGGGGTGCCCTTCTCTCCGCAGAGGATCAAAATCGTGATGGCATGTCTTCGGATCATCCTCAGGGATGTTTCCCAGACCGTCGCCAATAGCCCATTGTGCAGCTCTAGTGCGATGTAAATGAACAACAACCCATAATTTTGAATTAGGAGTTATATACTTCATTAATTTTAGAGGAGAACAGGGTGCGTAGCATTTTTAAAAAAGTGCTTTAAGATGCTTGTTTTTTATTTCCGTTTTTTTAAAAGCCCTTAGAGGTGCTTTTATCATTGGGAGTTTTTAAAAAGTGTTTAATTTCCTTTTTTCCAAAATGAGATTTTTTCTTTAGCATGTCGAATTTCACCACGAATTATGTAAAAAGCATGGTTTTAAAATTTTTCTATTCAACCTTTTCACAATTCATTCAACCACAATCCATTTTGGCGTACTGTCGGTCTGTAGCATATAAAAGCGCCAATCATTTTACACATTTGCATGTGCATATACGAAGTGGGATTCGGCAGGAGAGGACGTATTCTTGTACTCTCATGTGCAACTCTGCTGCACTTTGAAAAAACAGGGATGAGATTTTTCCGCTTCTTAGCGGATTTCAGCTTTTTTCACTTTTATCTCTTGAATTTCAGCTTTTTTTTTCAAAAATTCAGATTTTCTAAAAATTTCACTTTTTTTAATAAGTATTCTCCTTTTTCAGAAAATTCACCGATTTTCAAAGATAAACAGAAAATTCAAACTGCATAGCTACCAATCCTTTCTCGTTTTTACTTATTTTAGCTATTTTCTCCCCTTTTACACGCAGCAGATAAGATTTTCCGAATTTTTTTCCTGCCCTCCAGATAGATCCGATTTTCGTAGTTCAAACGACGCTGCTTCTGACAAGCCTTTTAGAGGTCCCAAGCCTGGAATCTGCTAATATCTTGATTCTTATTCACACGATTTTAATATCAAACATAGCTTTTCATATTTGTGTGTTGTGATTCTTATTCACGCGATTTGAATATTATATGTTGCGATTCTGATTTACGAGATTTAAAAATCCGATATTGTGATTCGTATTTACGCCTTTTTAAAAACCTATGTAGCGATGCGTATTCGCACAAGTTTAAAATTCTATGTCTTGATTTGCTCATGCGGTTTATAATATTAAACGTTGATTTTCGTATTTATACGTGATTTTAAATTAAGGCATTGGGATTCGCATTCCCGCATTCTAAAAATTATGCATCATAATTCTTATTTATGCAATCTAAAAATTACGCATCATGATTCGTATTTACGCGATCTAAAAATTATGAATCGTGATTTGTATTTACGCGTTTTAAAAATTCTACTTCCCAGTTTGTATTTCCTCATTTTCAAAATCGTATATCTAGTTTCATATTCATGTGATTTCAAAATCCATAATTGTTATTCATATTCACGCAATTTTAAGATCAACTATCGCGATTCTTGTAAGAAGTAATTTTTTTTAAAATTAGTTACTATAAAGGTGACTGTTTTTCTAACGACGATTATTAGTATATGTAAGTGTTACAACATCAGAGAAACTGGAAGGGAATATATTCAAAACTTACATTCTGTGCTTGCAAAGAAGAAAAAATAGGATTTGTCACAAGATGTTTGAAGATGGACTAACGACTAAATATAGCAAACATAAAAGATATAGCAAACAAAAGCAATTACTTAAAAAGGGATTTAATTTTTTTTTTGGAAAAAGAGTTAATTAACTCATCATCAAAATTTTATTTATAATTGCTGTTATTTATGCTATAAAATGCAAAATTCTTATCAAATAAAAAACAATTATCTAAACAGTTGCTGATAGTCATATAATTTTTAAAACTAAAATAGCAATTTTCGTATGTTAAGGCGCTACTATATATTTCTACTTCACTGTTATTGATATGTTTCAGAGGGCTCTAGTTAGATTAGACTATAATATGAACATAATGATTCGGTCCATTGTTAAAGTTTTTTTTTCCAACATAATTTAAAAAGTAATATTACTGATATATTTGCTATAAATCACATAACAGTATTTATTAAAAGAAATGAAATATTAATGTATATTCTTAGTAGTTTTAATTTTCTAAATCAGGTAGTTTTTCAAGTAATGATTGTCTCTAATGTGAACTGAGGAAAAATATAATTTCCAGCTTTATTTTTTTAATTGGTAATTTTTATTTTCACTAAATGTTAAGTATCAATGTAATCATTTATATAATAATAGATTAGTACTCAATTGTATGTCAACACATTTTTTATTACCTTAAACTGTCTGGAATTTATTATTAAAGGGTTGCGCTTGCGTAAAATTTACTATCGTGGAAATTCAGCTTTTTTGCCTTTTGGCTAATCTCATCCCTGAAAAAAATTCTACTTTTCTGCCCCCTGGAATCAAACCGAAAAATCTCTCGAATCAACCAAATCTCGAATCAATCACGGAGATCAACCAAAAATTTATTTTCCCTTAAAGCAATTTTTTTTAATACTCCTGTTAATTTCATCGTTGGTGAAGTGCCATCATCTTTGTCACTCTCAAGCTAATGGTCTTCTCGCACTCTTCTATTAATAGATTAGTACCATAATCCTTGAACTTTACTTGGGGATCATTCATTAGTTACGTATTTTCATGTGGGTTCCCAGAGCAGTAAAGAACAACTAAGCTTAATTTCCTCAAAATTTCCATCTCCTTTTTATTCATTTAATATTATAAGAATTAGGAATTTTAATCGTAAAATGTTTTACTTGAAGGACCGTCCACTAATTGCATAAAAATTTTCAAACTTTTATTGTACTTAATATATTACTTTTATTACTTATTACATTTTTTTAAAGTTTTTATTATTGTTTTATTATTTTTAAAATTTTCAGTACTTTTAAGTTTATGAAAAAACGTATGAAAAATTTTATGAAAAAAAGTATGAAGTCAGGGACTTTCACTATTTTAAATACAGGAAAATGTTTTATGTTATTCAGATTTGTCATTCCACAGGGATGTGATTCTTCCGTGGATTCGCGGATTTCCGCTTTTTTTTCAGATTTTTCCATTTCTCCCTCTGATTTCCGGCGAAAATTGTTTTTTGCACGAGTTAAAATATTTTCAGGAATTTAATTTCCCTCAGAGCGAAAATATTGAAGTCCTCGTTCCTCTCTCTGAAGTTTGCCAAAAAATAATTTCCTCGGGATAAAAATGGTTGACCTTTATAATCAGGGATAAGATTTTTCAGCTTTTTAGATTTTTCCTTTTGTCTCTCAAATTTCTGCCTTTTTATCAAAAACTCCGACTCTCTAAAAGTTTCGTTTTTTTAAAAAATAAATATCGCGCTTTTTTTTGTGAAAATTCAGTCATTGAAATAAAACAAATATATTTATTTACGATTTTCAAAGATATACAGAAAATTCAAACTACGTCCTAGCTGCTGACCCTTCCACCTTTTACTTATTTTAGCTATTTTCACCGATTTTACGCACAAAAAATAAGATTTTCCGTATTTTTATCTGTCGCCTGATAGCTCGTATTTTCGTAATTCAGACGTTGCTACTTCCTGTTTCTTGCGTGAAAGCAAACGGAAAAAAAATGAGGTGGATTTGCGGTGAAAATATTTATTTGCTCATTCAATTAAACTTGTAAATTTTTATTTATTATGTCTAAGCGAAAACAATACAAACAAGCCTTTTAGAAATCCCTAGTCCAGACTCCACAAATATCTCTATTCTTATTCACGCGATTTTAATATCAATAATCTATTTTCGTATTTACTTGATTTAAAATTTGCCCATTGTGATTCTTAGTTACGCTATTTAAATGTCGTACATTATGATTCTTATTTACGAGATTTAAAAATCCAATATCGCGTTTTGTATTTAAGCATTTTTAAAATCGCGATTTTATTATCAAACTTCTATTTTCGTATTTATCTGATTTGAAAGTTGAATGTTGCGATTCTTATTCAGGCGATTTAAATATCGTACATTGCAATTCTTATTTACGGGATTTAAAAATCCAATATCGCGATTTGTATTTACGCACTTTTAAAAGCTTATGTAGCGATTCGTATTCACACGAGCTTAAAATCAAATGTCGTGATTCGTTTTTGCGGTTGTAATATCAAACATTGATTTTCGTATTGATGCGTTCTTTAAAAACTAGACATTGGGATTCATATTCGCGCAATTTAAAAATTATGCATTGTGATTCATATTTACGTGATCTAAAAATTACGCATCATGATTTATTCTCTCAATTTAAATTCATGCATGTAATGCATATTCATATGTTCATACAATTTTAAAATTATCCATCGGGATTTATAATCACATGATTCACAAGTTTAAAAATCACATTTTTTTGTCAAATTTTTGGATTTTGAATATATATATATATTCTAAGATAGGGGTGCACAACCTGCGGCCCGTGGGCCAAATGCGGCCCTTCGACTACTGAAGTGCGGCCCGCGAGAGCTTCTAAACACAATAATTTTTTTTTTTTTAAAATGGCAATTTTTAATCGCACTTTTAAGTCATCACGTCTTGACACAATCAATTTTAACAGATTCTTTAGTAAATGTACGTTTAACGCGCTTTTTTGAAGCCGAATTTATCGTAAATATAAATGATTTTTTTTAAACAGTTATTTCCGCTTTTCTACGTGATTTTGAAAATTCCTAATTTGT